TACGCTGTGTTAATTTTATACAAGCCCTCGGCTTGAATTTCACATCATAGTATTTCAAAATACTTCCCAAATTAGTGAAGTCCTTCTAACTGTTCTCACAAGATCAAGAAGTAGGCAGATAGCAACTTAATTTTACATGGAGCTTAATCAGCTTTTAAGAGGCCCTCTTTTATTTGTATTCTGTTATGCATTCAGATTTTCAGTCCATAAAAGGTAGCACAAAAAACCGCTTCTGTTCAAAGGTAACATTTCTTTTAGGACAATTTCTCTAAATGATCACTTCTGAGGTTTTTGTTTACACCAGCAGGCTGATGAGACAATTAGATAACAGTGCCTTTACGTCACAGAAGAACCCTCTTAGCGTAGCGAGGTAATTTTGTTGTCTACAGGATGCTTAAGAAAAATTACGTCAGAGCAGACCTGTAGACTTTCCATAAAGTTCACAGACTAAGACTTTCATTCTAGGGATGTGTACGCTTTGTATCAGTTGGTGTTTTTAACTCCAGAATGCTAATGTTTACTAAGTCGAAATAGTCTTGGATTTATTGTATGTTAACACCGTTAATTGAGAAATGCTAATACAAAGGCTTAGTTTAATTTTAACCAAGTTGACAGTTGAATAGAAATGTAAGCACTTATTGCATTTGAAGATTTGATTAGTGGAATATTAGAATCATCAGACAATGATTTTCTGCTTTTTCTTCACTATGTTATAAAGTAACAGGATAAAGTTGGGAGATCTCAAAGTTACTTACAATAGCATTAATCCATGCGGCTCTGTGATTGGCTAAGTAAGTGAATTAAGTGATGGTGTCACTGTCCTCCTTGCTGCCCCTTTTCCTGGTCATAGCATATAGTAGCGATTTGTGTGAACTCTTAAGACCTGCTCAGTGGGCCAGATGAAGCATGTTTTGGGGGAGATATGCATTAATTTGAGTCTTCTTTCCTAGGCTTTGATTTCGGTGTGCGGCAGAATGGTGAACGGGTTAATCACGTCAATCTCCCGCCTTGGGCCCGGAACGACCCTCGTCTTTTTATCCTCATTCATCGACAGGCTCTAGAGTCTGAGCACGTGTCCCAGAATATCTGTCAGTGGATTGACTTGGTGTTCGGATATAAGCAAAAAGGGAAGGCTTCCGTTCAAGCCATCAATGTTTTTCATCCTGCTGTAAGTGACTCTTTTAAAGTAATCTGCATTTCTGTCAGGTAGAACCTGAATATTTAAAGGTTAGCTGGTAAGATGTTTCTATAGAATACCTAAGTTATCAGAGAGAATTGGCAATGACACTAAACTGTTGCCCAAGATTTTTCAGGTTTTATATTCCATCTCTTTAAAAATAACTAAGATACTATCTGTCGGGGTTTCCCAAGACCATTCCAGGTTGGATGAGGACCTAGAGACTCAGCATATAGTCAGAATTTCAGCTAAGGTTATTACAGGGATGGAAACAAAGCAAGATCAGCAAAAGGAAGAGATGCCTGGGGCAAGCTTCCAAAAGTCTTCTCCCAGGGAGTCAAAGAACGTGCTTCTTCCTCCGGCACAAATTGTGACAAATTGTGATGTCGTCTTCCAGGGAAGCTCATTAGCAACTCAGTGCCCAGAGTTTTGACTGGGGGCTGGTCCTGTAGGCAGCCCCCTTTCTCACATGTACTGAAATTTCAGACTCCGGAAGAAAAGCAGGTGTTCAGTATAAACCACATTGTTTGTGCAGACAGTTTTGGCACAGTGAGCCACTCGTATCAGTTAGGGAATGGTGGGAACTCTCCTGAAACCCGTGTTCCCAGATGCCTGCCAAGGGCCAACCTTGCAAGCAGGCCCTTCCAAGGCGAGCAGTTCAGGCCTGCCATCTTAACTTCTTCCTGCACACTATCCTATACACATATTCTGTTTTTAAATGGCATTGTTTTTTCTTATTGCAGAAAATAGTATTTGTGCCTTGTTAAAAAAAATGTGTAAGATACAGACTGCAAAAGGAAGGAATTTGAAAATCAACTTTGAAATCTCCATCCAGAGATGAATATCAAAACCACCTTATAGACTTTTTTCTATATGTCATTCCATTTATATGATAATATTAATATTACTGTTCCCAAGTATGGCTAAAAGATAATGTATTTAACCAGTCCCTTATTGTTGGATATTTAATTGGTATTTGTTTGCTATTAAAATTAATAAGATTTTTGAAGTTATTTCTTTCTGTATATCTTTATTTCCTTAAGATAACTTCCTGGTAGAATTGTTACACTTTCACATATACTTTTTGATGTTGTTAGAGAGGCTACCAAAAATGTATCTTTTCAGGAAACATTTGTTTTGCTCAGCTCTGGAGATGCAAAGATGAATAATACTCAAGCAGGGAGAATAGAGTTAGAAGAAAAGCTGGGGCCTAAAAGTAGGAGCGGGGCCCAAACGAGGCCTCTCAAATTTTTCAAGGATGAAAAGTCAAAGGGAAAGTCATGGGGAGAAAGCTGTTTCCTGGTGTTGCCTAGTAGCTACTTAAAGACAGCAAGTACAACAGATGAGCCATTAATCCACTGCATGGACAGTTAGCCTCTTAGTTTTCCTAACTTTAAAGTTAGGTGTTGTATTAGGTTGACCTTGGACTTCACCCCCCCCCCCAACTATAATTTTCTGTGTAGATTTGTCAGTGTTTATACAAATATAGCTAAAATACACACATAGAACCTACAGTAATACACCCTGTGTTTGGGCTTATTTATGCCAGAAATCTATTCCTGAATAGTAGTTTTAAAATAAAAATCTCTTTAGTGCATTTTGCTCGGTAATTATTTTGAGTACCTCTAAGGTAATAGAAAATTAAATTCTTTAAGATACCTAAGACCTGGAAGAGAGAATAAGACAGGTTTCCTGATTATTCTAATAGAAGATAAATGCTATGGAAAAGTGTACCTAAAAGGAGGAATAAGACAGTTTGACTGGTGAATAATAATTTTATAAGTAAGAGTAATTTAAAATAAAGGCAAGTCTTCAGGGATAATTTTTTAATTTCTTTCATATTTGATCTAAAATGTAACTTTAAATGCAATTAGGAATTTTGACATTGACCTTAATATGCTCTGTGCCTATAAACCTGCCCCATCTTTTCAATTATTCTAATATAAACTTCACATTAAAAGCATATGTGTGCTGAAATATACTATGTAATTCTCACCTTACTGGAATTTTTTCACTGATTCTTTGGGATAATAGAACTTTAAAAAGGCTAGAGTTTATATCATTGTTCTAGAAATTTTGTAAAATTTAATTCATAGGACAGAACGAAGTATAGCAATTAAGTGCACAGTCTCTGAATTCAGAATTGACTTCAGATTCTCAATTTGTAACTCTGCCCCTTGCCATGTGACCTTGGGCAAATAGTTCAACCTCTCTGTACCTAAATGTACCAATATTTAAAACGTGAACAATAATACCAACCTCATAAATACAGAAAGACATTCATATAGGATAATGTCTGACATACAATGAAGTACAAATAATTGTTAACTTTTTAAAAGGAGTGTAGAACTAACTGCCTTTTAACATTAATTCATCATTTATTAATATGTTGCATTCAAATAGAAAGTGATACCACAGAATGTAAAGAAGCACTATTTTAAAATAAATAAAGAGACGAGAGGATTATTCCAATCTTCATTTGAATTTTTGAGTATATTAAGCCAAGCAGCCATGAAAACTGACCCTGCTCAGAGAAGCATTTATACAAGTATTTGATCAAGACTAGTGTTGGGAGAGAGTGGTGCTGAGCTTATCTCACTTCTGAAGGATCTTAGAAATGTTATTTGACACTTACAGAAATATCATATCTAGATATGTAAATGAAATTTGCAATGACTGATTAAATGCTAAAAGGTAATTTGTACAAGTGGGTTTGCACAAAACAAGACAGCTCTGTACCCAGCTGCTGACTGCTGGCTTTGGCGATAAAGCAGCACATGCATGTTGCTCTCCCTATGACTTTAAGGGATGGCAACACTGAGAAGAAAGTGTAATAACACCCTTTATACTAACGAGCTTGGAATTTCACTGCTACTCTTTTGGATTCATTTACAATTTTCGTTAGAACCTCCATAACTCTTTATAACTACCTACTGACATTGTTATCTTACCTTCATTTTTGCCTTTTCCTATATATCACTTTGGACAAATGGCTTTTTCAGTAATTTAGTATCATACATGAAATCTTAAATAATATTCTCTGGTCTTTAGCTAAAAATCAATTTTATAAACATACCTAATCAGCACCAGTCTGTCAAGATGCATTATTTTCTGTTAGCCCTTCAGAAACATAGATCGTTCCTATTCTAATCTCAGTGAGACCATGGATGGTTATGGACATTGCAAAACCATTTCCATTTGAAACAGAGAAGAGTGGACCATGACCTACAGAAGAGAGCGCGGTGTTTCCCCTTTGGCGTTCCTGCCCATCGGGCTCTGTACAAACCTCTGGCTCTCTCTCACTCTCACCTTTCAGACATACTTTGGAATGGATGTCTCTGCAGTTGAAGATCCTGTCCAGAGACGAGCTCTAGAAACCATGATCAAAACCTACGGCCAGACCCCTCGTCAGCTGTTCCAGTCGGCCCACGTGAGCAGACCTGGCTCCAAGCTCAACATCGAAGGAGAGCTCCCTGCTGCCGTGGGACTATTAGTGCAGTTCGCTTTCCGGGAAACCCGAGAGCAGGCCAAAGAAGTTGTCTATCCGGTATGTCCTTTGGATTTCAATAGAAATTGGCAAAAGCCTCCTGAGGTGTCAGACTTCACCTCCTGAGATGTCAGGCCCTCTCACAGGCTCTTAAGGGCCCCAAATAAAAGGTGCGGTCCCAGCCTGAACACGTGCACCAGCCAGTCAACACAGACGCCTGCAATTCCAGCCATGTCTGTGTGTAGTGATGCTGAGTTAGGGGTGTGAAGGGTGCTCTGGGAGCTCAGGTCAGACAGTAACCCCTGGACCACTACAAGGGAAAGCCACATCAGGCAGTGAGACAACAGGAATTGGCAGGCGAGAGGAGAGGCACCGCCCAGGATGAGAGGACAGTGTGAGTGTGGGTATGCCAGTGCGCACATGCGTACAGGGTCCTGGAGACCATCTCCCACCAGAAGTCCTGACCAGAGGTGAGATAGCTGCAGTGAACAGGGAACCTTACATGCTCTTTGGCCTTCCCAGCTTGTAATGATAAAAAGTATTGCCTCTTAAAATAAGAAGTAGGTATAATTTTTTACTTTGAAATAGAAAAATAAAGCAAGAAAACCTTAAAGGTAAATTGGATTCTAATCCTCAACTAAATTCTTCTTTATAAAAGCAGCATAATAAGATGGGAGACCATGAATTGTAAAGTGTCGTAAAGGTTTGCCGAAGGGAATCACGGAAAATGGGAAGGCAAGAAAAGAGGTTGTGAAGGGCCTTCAGATGAAACAAGGCAGCGGATCTCAATAGATCTGTGATCCGTTTTAAGAGAAAATGGTTTTCACAGACCTTGTGTTGACAATTGTTTCTTAATGTCACTTAAATACACTAAATGCAGAACACAAATAGAGCACTGAATGTAAATTCTTTATGCTCATAGCTCACAAACATCAAATTTATATGTTGAATACAAACAAAAACACAACCAGTAAAATTCAGATTTAAAATATCAACACGATACACCATGGTGTTTTGGTGAAGCCAGATCACCATTGTGGTGTTTCTTAGTTAAAAGCTTAATGTTTTGTGTTTACTTATCAATTTAACTCAGATTTTGAAGCCTCACAAATCATTTTGGTCTTTGTCATTACTAAGGTCATTCTTTTAAACTAGAATCTATTATTTTAACTTGTCAAAATAATTTAATAGTCCATCCCTGAAAAGTAACAAGTGCCATTTAATTTACTGGTGTACTCATTGCTAATGAACTCTTAAGTCGGTACGCACAAAGGGCCTGGGAGTGTAATGTACCGACCCGCCTCACTCCCACCGCGGGACCTTCATATCTCTTCCCTCCACCCGAATGACCTATCCCCAGATATAGCCCCACCTTTTTCCCTCATTTCATTTGGATCTCAGCTCAGATGTCACCTCCTCAGAGAGTCTCCCCATGTGTCAAATATTAATAGCAGCTCCATCCTTCTCAGTCCTCTCTCTCTTCTGGGCTTTTCTTCACAGCATTTTCAGCACTGGACATATGTGTATTTGTTCATTTATTTGTCTGCTCCCATCCCAACTGGAATGCAACCCCATGGTTCTGGGACTGACTCTCTGTTTTGTTCATGTCTAGCAACAAGGAACACATATTGCTATATGCTAAGCATGGGGGAAGTAAAAAAGTGTAAAATAATTCTTGCCCACGAAGGGCTTAGAATCAGGTTGCTTTCTCTTAATTTGTTTAGAATTTAAATTAGAAGTTATTCTCTATTTACCACCTTTTTTAAAAAAATGATACTGTTTTCTTTCCTCGGTTTTAGAGTCCTTTGTCGTGGATAAAAGGCTTGAAGTGGGGGGAGTACGTAGGCTCCCCGAGTGCTCCAGTGCCTGTGGTCTGCTTCAGCCAGCCCCATGGGGAAAGCTTTGGTTCTCTCCAGGCCCTGCCCACCAGAGCGATCTGCGGTTTGTCCCGAAATTTCTGTCTTCTGATGACATACAGCAAAGAACAAGGTAAAATAAAACATAGTGAAAAGCATTCTGGTATCTTTCATGAGATTCGGATGTTTCTAGATCTTCTGTGCTGCTTTTTTGTTTTATTTCTAAGGTTTTTGAGTCCTTGGTAAAAAACTGCTCAAATCTGTGGTTATGTAGTGCAAAGTAGGAATTAAAACACACAGCATTAAAAGTTAAAAGGGAGATAAATGCAGTACCATTGGAAATGAGAGGAGGAGTTTGAAGGAGACAAGAATAAATGGTTCTGCTCGCAAGACGAAAACTATCACTTTTATAGAAATGTACACTTTGGGGCTCTTGAATCCCAGAAGAGACACATGTATTTGACCAGCAAATCTAGTGCCTCAGAAGATACAGTCATGAGATTCAAACAAACAAAACAAGACAAGGAAGTCATGACAGCCTGGAAAACAGGTTTTAAAAACACATGTGCCTGGAAAGCAATCCTTTTCTATTCTCTGTGCACCGACTCACTAAAAGCATCACGTTATGAAGTGCTGTATGGTAAAGGCCCTCTTCCTATTTCCAGATGTCACCTGGACAATGGAAAACTGAGGACATTTCCCACTGAAGTCATCCCTCAGCCCTTCCAAATTAGCCATTTCACTAAATGCAAGAGAACTCTCCCTACTTACGAGACATGGGCTTTGGGCAAAAAAATGAGTGATGGAGGGCACGCCTCCATTTATATCAGGTGTGTGCGGGTTTGTCTGAGAGCCGGTGTGTGGACTAGATCAGATGTTCTTAGCCATCACACGCTAGCATCTTATGTTGCTGTGTGTCTATGCATGGTGCTCCTCAGGGCCCATATAGCCCCCAACCGCAGACAGACTGTGATACAAGGATGCCGGCAGCCCCGCCAGACGTCGGTCACTTCAGTGAAGTGTGCCGGCTGAGCTGCCATTCTTTCAGGCTCACTCTTAATTCTACCATGAAATGAATGCTTGCCTTTATAGCTATTGGAACTAAGAGAAGCTGTGTACCATTTCATCTACGTTTCATGAGTTAATAGGATAAGGTAAATCTGTTTAATCATAATTATTGTGATATCAGTGGTTTATTCTCACTAGCATGTTGCAACCAGCTGTGAACTGTCACAAGTATTTTATTACTAATAGCATTTAAAGTACCAAAACGTGTGAATTTAAATTTTAAAAAATTAGAGTGGATCGAAGTTTATCTATTGAGCAGGAGAGAAAGAGCTGGTGGTATTAACCACTTAGCAAGATGGGACTTAAATATGTCACATATAATTGTCAGCCTATCTTGTTTGTGCCACTACTCAGAAACCCTCAGTGTGCCCTTAGTAGCTGTGTTCATTCAAATTACACTTCACATCCTTGCAGAATATATATTTGGGGTTTGCCAGCATCCAGGTGTGTCCAGGGGAGTGCTGTAATATTATATAATACATTTATGGCTGTGGCCTTTGGGGGTGCAGTGCCTGAGCTTGCTATTCAGTGCTTGTGACCTCGAGAAAAGTACTCAGGCCTTCCGAATCCTGGCTTTTGATCTATAAAATGGGAATAGCAAAAGGGTTTACCTCACAGGAAAATTTGTTGTAAGAATTAAGCAGGGCCGGCCATGTGGCACATTGGTTAAGAGTTGGCTTGGGACACCAGCTCTGAACAGCAGGGTTCTCGGTTCGGATCCCACATGAGGGCCAGTGACACTGCGCCCTCTACAGCTAAGATGGTGAACAACAGCTTGACCTGGAGCTGGGCTGTCGTGAGTCGCTGGCAATGGCGTAGGCTGCAGTGGAGCTGCAGTGGGCTGCTGTAAAGCTACTGTGAGTGGCTGGCAGCTGGCATGAGCAGCCGGCAGCCAGCATGAGCTGCCAAGAGCCGCCATGAGCGACCATCCAGTGACTGCCTCAGCCGGGAAGAGCGTAATGATAATACCAACATGGTCCAGCAAAGCGACGTCCTCCACAACTAGACTGAAGAACAAAAGGACAGCAACTTGTCTGTTCTCTTTCCCCAATTCCCCAATAAAATCTTAAAAAAAAAAAAAAATGAAGTGAAACAATGTAAGGAACTGTTAGCACAGTGCCTGCCTCCTTCTCAGTGCTTAATAAATGTCCATGGGACAGAAAGCACCCTGGGCCAGGGTCTCTGAGCCCTCACTGCTGCCCGCAGCACAGAACGGCCCCTGTGAACATTCCTCAGAGGCCTTGGACGAAGCACACAGACGTCGGGTCTTGTGCTAACAGCTGCAAAGCGTTGAGCACTTGTTATATCAAGTAATTGTTTCATTTTGCTTAGTTATATGTGCATAGCACAATGTAATGATAGACTGGTGGTTTTCATGACAGCCAATTACTTGGCTTGACTGAGCCTCAGAATTGCCGGAGGTGCATTTGTTTGGGTCCCATTTGAGTTGAGACACACTACATCACAATCTCTGGGGCTTCAGTATAAAATCCACTATTCTAATAAGTAAAGGAGGAGTTTATTTTTCTCTTTTTAAAAAAAAAAAGATGCTGCATCTTGTAGTACTGGAATGAGAAACTGGGAACAGTTATTAAATATACTTGGTTCATTGAGCACTTATCACATGCCGGGTGTTCCGTAGAATCTGAGAGGTCCTGAGACTCATGAAATGTGGTTCTTTTCTCTGCAGCTTACATTTAGAAGAATGTTTAATGAGTGTTTCCCAATTCCTTTATTGAAAAACTGATGTCAACATTGGCATTAATACTCAACAAAACAAAATCTGCGAGTTATATTTTTAGTGTGCTGTTGATTCATTTAACAAATATTATTTGTTTTATCCCTCCATATGCTGGGCATTATGCTAGATAGGTACTGGAGTAACTAACACACATCTTCTCTCCTTAAGGGATGGAAAGCCTTCCAGGTTCCAGGGCAGCACCAGTTAAAGGATCTATGCTGCAGCAGCTGCAGCCATCATGCCAACAAGGCGTAGGTTATGACTAGTGCTGAAAAGGGGTGTCAGGGTGTCCAAATCCTTATCCCAAAAGGACATCATACTAAGGAGAGAGAGAGAGAGAGACAGAGAGAGAGAAAGAAGGGAAGAGCAGACCCTCATTGGATGAGGGTCTTCCATGCGGAGCCTGGCAGCTTGGCAGGGCTGTTCTCCCTCCACAGGGCCATGCTGCTTCTATTCCAGCAAGTTCTCTTTCTGATATTAATAGTTGTCCATAGGATTGTTCAGCAGGGGTGACCTAGGAAGTTATTTAAACAGCATCCAGTTCATATTTATTTTTTAAATAAAGGTGTCCCAGACATGAACAGAGTAAGCTTGACTCTTAATGTCTTTTATAAAAGATTCTTAACACAAGTGAAAATGAATACAATCCCTCCCTTAGGATCTCCTTAGCATTAAAGGAATGGAAGTAACATAACATCGGTCCATCTTGTGGATAGAAGGATGGTTTTGCCCTGGAGCGATACTGTGTTCTGCCATGTGAACTTCAGCCTTTAACCTGCCGTTGTGGGGACTGCCGGGTGCCCCCCGGGGCAGTGGCGCTCTGACCCTCTCATTTCTCCTTGAGGTGTGCGAAGCATGAACAGCACTGACATCCAGTGGTCGGCCATCCTGAGCTGGGGATATGCCGATAACATTCTCCGACTGAAGAGTAAACAGAGCGAGCCTCCTATCAACTTCATACAGAGTTCACAACAGTATCAGGTAAACGTTTTTATGAAGTACTTGATAATAATAATAATTAAATATAATGCTTTGAATAGGAGTCAGACTGATAGTAGCCGGTCTTTAAGTTCCAGTGATGAGCCCTGTCAGGAAGCGGGTGATGCTGGATGTGTGTTTTGTTTACATGCTTACAGACATCCTGACTACCGCTGTGCTGCCAGAGTCCCCAGAATTGTCTCCCACCCAGTATCTCTTTGAGACAATATAATAATCTCCTACTTGGCATCAGTTAATGGCACAGTGTTTGAACAAAATCAGCGTTGCTTGCTTCCCAGTGTTCACCTGCCTTGTCACTATGTCATTTCCTGTAACCAGAGTGTTATCTTCTGTGCCTGGTTTTTCCTAAACAGACTGGGTATTTAGGCATCCCTGGGCCTCACTGAACCCAGTGATCTGTGGTGGTGTCCCGGCTTTGTTATGTACTGGGTCACCTTTACAAATAACTTCACCTTCCCAAACTCCAGTCTCTTTCGTCCTCCATGAAGCTGGGATAGCGGTACTATAACTACTCTCCGATAAAGCTATTGTAAAAATGTTTCCAACGTTTGTGAAAGTCACTTTGTAGACTATCAAACACTATATTTATACTGCCAGAACTTACTAAATTGTATATTGAACCTTCTCTCTTTGATTGTCTCTCCATGGGAAGTTGTTTTACCATTTTCAGACTTCCATTACCTCCGTAACACCTGCTGCCTGTTTGTGTGCCTAACAATTATCGCCATTCCCTGAGCACATTAGAAATGGAGTAAGGCACTTTTGGAGAAATATTGACAGTGAAAAAAAGGAGAACAGTGACTTGTGCTTAACCCTCAATATACCTGAAAAAAAGTCATCGCCTTTTGTTATCTGGCTTACCAGTAAACTAACAAAAGTAAGAAGAAAGGGCAGTGAAAAGCAACCTTATTAGAAATTTAAATAAAAATTAAACATTGCAAAATTATTGCTGTCATGTAAAGTCTGGCACACAAACATCATTAAAGATGGAAGAATACCCTCATAAGTCCTTTTAGCCAATGGGATGATCTGGATTCTTTTAGCAAAATACTGTGTAATAAAGTACTTCCAGTCAAATGACTCACTGGATGAGAAAACCGTATTTCATTTTCATCCTTAGAAATACATTGTTCATGCATTAGTTCTTCAGTTGGAGAAAATTCATCTTGGATATTAGCATATGAAGACTCACACTCTGACCAACTTCATCATCATCATTAGAGATTAGAGTCCTGCTGTCTCTGTGTCTTCATCTTCTGATTGATTACATAATTGTGAAATGTATTCCTATGTCAGTTTTCTCTCCTATTATTGGTAGAAAATGGAAAATTCCCAGCTGTGTTCAATGAAAGCTAAAAGCAGGCTTCAGAAATGGTGGCTCCAGTCTTCTTTTGTAATTTCTTGAAAGATGATAGCATTCTCTAGACAATGCAATAAGGAAACCAAAAGATGACAATTTATTTCACATATTACATTATCCTTCTGGGAGATCCTTCATTCTTTCATTTTCTTATTTTGTTTGTTTTGTTTTAGCCAAGTTGGGAATAATTGATGAGTAGTGATCGAATAATTCCTAGAGTGATGAAATTGCAGAATATTTCAAGATAAAGGAAAAATAAGACTATTAAAATCCTGTAATGTAACTTAGGTTTATAAAAGGTTTCAGTAGACCTATATGGTAATTGAAAGACAGAATGAATTTTATTCTCTATATAAATAAGTACATGTTCTCTGGAAGACCTCTAAGAAAGAATACTCGTAAAAGTTATGAAATATCAATCCTTACAAATAGTTAGAACTATTCAAGAAACTCAAAAAATAAAATTGGATTGAGTGGATGGACTCTGATGATACATAGAGATTAAGAAGAGCCAGGGGGGAAAAAAAAGTCACTTTTTTAAGGTCGCTGACACCTGAACACACTTGTAGGCCCCGGGGAAGAAGCCCACAAAAGACAGTTTGGAATTCTGAGAGGACAAGCATCCTGAGCAACGTTGGGGTAGGCGGGGCTTCCTCCACTAAATCAGGAGGAGGCATGGGGACCTTTTGAGGCACAAAGGAGGGAGGAGGTGCTGCCTGTGGCTGATGACCTCTGTCGTCTTAGTGAAGTGAAGCGTGAGGGTATTGCCGACAGTGGGAGTGGGGACTAGAGGAGGGGTGCGTGGGAGCAGACCAGGGGGCACGGCTGCTGTGGACATGGCCCTGGGGGTCAGCTGGTGCCCAGAGGAAGACTTGAACCTGGAATAGTGCCTCATGGTTAGGACGGAAGGGTTTAAAATCCCAGATTTTTGTCTCCACGGTTACCTTTCCTCCTCCTATTGTTTAGCAGTCTTTAGAGTTGTTAAAAGTAATACCTCTATTTATATGTACCCTGTTTCCCCACCAAAAACAGAAAAAAGGACATAAAAGTAAAAATCAAGTAAACATGTGAAACACATACACAGATCACACACATTGAACCTTGGATCTGATCAATCCTGGATCATTTCGTTTAATTTCTGGGGAACAAATGGTGATGTGTGTGTGTGTGTGTGTGTGTGTGTGTGTGTGTGTGTGTGTTGTGTGTACAGAAAAATCTAAAATCATAGACAATGCGTTGTGATACAATTTCAGGCATCTGGCTTAAAGTTACAGGATATGATTATATCTTTGCACCATTCCAGTCCTTTCAAGTAAAATGTTTACCTTACATTTTGTGACCATATATTCTTTAAATAGTTGTCAGAAAAGTAGAAGCATTTGTAACCATGATAATCTTTGATTTCTCCTTTTCCAAAGGTGACTAGCTGTGCGTGGGTCCCTGACAGTTGCCAGCTGTTTACTGGGAGCAAATGCGGTGTCATCACAGCCTATACAAACAGGTTTACAAGCAGCACGGTAGGTCCCGGGGTCATTCTGTGGGTCGTTTGGGATTTTCATATCAGTGAAGGGAAGAAAACTTTTATGAAGTATAATTCATTTTATATGAGGTTCATTTAAAATTTTATACTTTATCTTTTATACTTTAACCTTTTCTTTACATAAGCTCTTAAAATGTAAAAGGTCACATATCTAACTTAGGCTTGTTAAGATCACGAAAAATTTTGAAAGTAATTATGAAGGTCTTATTTTTTGGGGGTCACAGTGTTTTGAGTTATGATCTGTTTTGCACTTAGGCTTTTTCGTGACATCCTGCTGCTTTCTTGCCCGTATTCTCCATGTCGCCCTGAGTGCTCAGACGTGTATCCCCAGGTTCTATAACACTTGAAGCTTAAAAACCCAATGGCTATCCTCTCTGGATAGATTAAATAACAGCAAAACCCACATCAGCCATCT